TCAAACACTTCCAAGTGAAACCACAACAATTTCATCCAATAAATGTCACAATTACAAATAACACTACGTTACATAACCTTAGTACAATTATGGCCTTCCGGTGACACTCAGAACTGAACACTGCCCACAACACTCTTATCACGGCAGATGTTCACCGCTCGCTCATTGTCTGTAAATATCAAAGTATTAACTCAAGTGGTCACAACAGTTGCTATGGTATCAGTGTAGGAAGGCACCCAAAAATGTTACCTTGGTATACAACAAACACTTTCCTGAGATTTCACAAAAAGAACAAAAAAACTATAAGTTAGGTAGGTGACCTTTGTTTTTCAGACACTTCAATACTCTTGAGCATTTCATGTTTCCGCACAACAGCATTACAAGTACTGTACACTTTACTTTAAACAATTTCTATTTTTCTTGAGGCAATTGTACTAACCTAACTTCAAGTAAAGTATTTACCTTGAACTGTTATTTCAATTTCTCCGCAAAACCACCCAAAAAAAAATTTGCACGCTTCCTTGACTCTGTTTCCACTAAACAAAATTAGTACCCAATGAAATAATTAAGTTCCTACTTAATTAGCGCAGAATTACATACCATACTGTACACTGGAAAAAATACAGAACAAAATTATTAGCAATCTGAAATATTCATTAGTTACAGTGAAATGGTTATTAGGTAGTTGTACAGAGAAATGGTTATTACAAATCACCCTAAAAAAAAAATACCCACAGTATCACATTTATTCCTCCCAACCTGATACCGTGTAAATTACATCCCACCGCTGCCACCATTATAAGGACGGGGAACACACTGCCACCATCATAAGGGCGGGGATTCTCTTCTTCTCCCTTATACTCTTATTTCGTACTTCTTTCTTTGTCTTAGTTCCTTCATGTATTCTGTCTAAATATTTCGTTTCAAAGTTACTTCATACCTCTGACCTTTGGTAGCATGGCGAGGGTTAGGGCACATGGATACTGTAATTCTGGTATCAAGTCACTTGGACAAAATAAAGGTGGATACTGAGTGAAAATGATACCCCTAATATACTCTAAGAAATGGTTTATTAATATGAAATTAAATTAGGTAAAAGATGTCATTAACATACAACTACAAGCCTCAACTCCTTGGCTTTACTTATCTGCCATCCCAATCAGATACTCTAGCTTCCCACAACATTACTGGTGGTACATTACATTACATACAGCTACAAGACAAACTTACATATGGTACCTTCACTAGACTGTTGTTAGTACATATGCAGGATGCACTCACAACACAACACAACACGTTAATAATGATACTAACAAATTTTATATGGGTTCACTACCCAACATGGAATAATTATTTCCAATTAATTATCCCCAATCGTATACAACAAACACTGTGGACCAAATAACTGTACGGAGTGTCCCAGGGTAGAACACTGGCGTCTCAACAAATGAAGACCGCTGTTATGGTCGGTTGTAGTCTGACATGTGGCGAGAGTCTGGGGTCCAGCCCCACGATGCAGATTGGAGCAGTCAATCCTGCCGAATCAGCGACATCGTCCACTACAGCTAACTGTTAGGTATCCACCGACCCCGGGCAGCCGGTGGGGTGTTCAAATAACCCACACACTGGATCTGGGATAAATTTGGAAGTCGTCAAAGGAAGAGGTGATGATGATTCAATCACAAACAATCTTTCGTCAAGCAACGACAGACGACATTTACGTTATAGTACTTCCCACACTGGATAAATGACAATTTCACTGTTACAACATGAACACAGATATTCACTAAATTGACTAAGTCAAACTGAATGACTATATCGGCAGGGAACACTGGCTTACATACCTGGGATAAATTGCAGAACGTCAAAGGGAGGGCTGTTCCTCCTTCTCACATAGGTTTATATACACCGTGAGTTGCCAGAGGTGGCTACTCACGCAATGACAGAAATTACATTCAAATCAACTGCTACACATTCAAAGATGACCCTCAGTTGACACGGGCCTGGCGAATTTCTAAAGTTGATCTACCTAAACTAATTCGAGATTGAGCTTGCCAGGAGAGAGTGGAATAAACGCATTGACAACCGAGTACCCAAAATGGGCGGGACTTACGGAGAGGGAAAACGCGTTTCTTTCTAGGGATAACTCACCAGTTATCCACATGTTTCGCGGGTGTGCAGTATAATAAGAATCATCAGCTTCAAACAGACCAGCAGTCATTGTGACTATGACACCACCACCATAATCACTTCCCCCACACCACAATCAGTTCCACCAAATCCTCATTTCCTGATAATAATGAGACCTACAAATCTCTTTCTTTTTTTGTGTAATTCGTACCTATGAAAATTATATAATTTTATATACATCAATTAATTATAATTCAATATATTCAAGCCATTTTTTTTTCAAAAATATATTAAGTCGACTCCATCGTTAGAGCTGGCCCAGTGTGTGACAGGTGCAGGTCTTCTGTCCTGCAACTTGTCCACACATTACCCCGAGTCGTCCAGACACCGTTTGTAACACCTGTTGAATTATTAGTATTAGTTTACAATACCTGTTGAATTATTGCATTATATGGTAATTATTGATGAGATACCCGCCGTGGATTTTTTATATTAGATGATTTTAAAAACAATGCAATTTCACTGTTTTGTAGTGGATAATGCCGTAGTTAGGGCAAATGTGCTAAAAATTGGTTATTTAAAAATTAAATATAACCTAACCTAACCTAACCTAAGTTGATAAGGCAAACAAGTGGCAGATGCTTTGTTAGAAGACCTCACCAACCTAACCAAACTTCCTACCCTTGGGGCTCCACCCCCGGATTCCCCCAGCATATTAAACAGAAAGAACTTACTATAATATGATGTAATTTTTACGTTTTTTTTTTTTGGTGAACATGAGTGCGGCTCAAACATACACCGAGCATAGGACAAAATCGATTTATCGCTGCAGAAGACAAAGTAGTGCCACTAATGCGAGCCGAAGGGCCTAAATATCTACCAAACAAAGCATTTTTCCCAAAATCGAATATCATATCAGAACTCCCCAATGAAAATATAGAAAGAAGAGAAACATCAAAACAAGTAATCCGCAGCCTGGTATCTTACCCAATGAAAATATAGAAAGAAGAGAAACATCAAAACAAATAATGTGCAGCCTGGTATCTTACCCAATATTAACCCAATTTATTCATATACCTGTAAGTTTTATCATGTACAGTCAAGTTATGTATATTCCTCACCACCACCACAATCATTTTCCCAGCTCCACCACAATTGTACTAACCACGGTTATACGTGTTAGTTAATGTAAAATCAGATGATTCATATTGCGCTCAATAGGCCTTAAAACATGTAGCTATAACTTCTGTATCGAGTCCCCCACCCCCCCAGTCGAGTCATCAGTTTTCCCACCGCTTCAGTACGCCTGACACCTCACATGACGTTGGGAGATTTGAATTTGAGAGTGACTGTATACGTGTAACATTAAGTTGGATATGTCTTTTTACTTTACCTAACTTTATAGACGGTGTAATTTTACGTTTTTTGTGAACGTAAGAGCAGGGTACGCTTAGTCTCGTGGTGACTGCAGATTTACGTTAATTTCTTACGTGAATTTAATTTATCGGTTAATATTCATTTTCGACGGAAGTGATATAAGAAAAGGTTGTTCCTATTGACAAAATATAACTCATGGTAAACACAAAATTGCTCTAATCGAGTTGTGTCTCAAACTGTAATAATACCAGACCATACAAATTCCTCATTACGTAATGAATATAAAATTACCTATTTTTGTATACATCAAGTAAGAGTTGGCCCCGAGTCTGACAGGTACAGGTCCACTATATTATAACTTGTCCACACACATTACCCCTAGTCGTCCATACACCGTTAACATTACCCGTTGAATTATTATTATTAGATTACATACCTATATAAATTGTTACGGACGGACAGTCAGGTGAAGTATATTCCTCAGCAGCACCACGTAAACACTTCCCCCAGTACCACAGGGCATTAGCACCACCATCTCTTCCCTAGCACCCCCACAATCACTTCTCCAGCACCACTACTTCTTCCTTAACACCCCCACAATCACTTTCACAGTGGCCTAATCACTTTCCAGCACCACATAATTCCTCAGTGTTATACATCAATCGCTTCCTCAGTAGTGATTACACGTGTTGAGGCGAGACAGAGTAGGTCAGTCCAGTGAGCCTCTGTAGCGACGTGGTCCGGTCCGGTCCCTCAAGATGCAGGATAGTTGTGTTGTTGTGAGCTGGCGAGACCGTATCTGCCTCCAGCGGCTTCATTCTCAAGTTTACTGAAGTTTCGAAGCGCCGCACTTCAACTTTTGAATCATTATCCAGACAGTAACACTCTTGAGCCTGAGCAGTATGTATCAAGACAAAATACGTATTGGTTTACACATTTAAAAGATTCTGACAAACTGGACTCACAGCCCCATGACTCCTGATTCGGAGGTTCATTTATGAAATGATTCGAATCTTTTGTGTTTCATGAGACCTTAAATATGGCGTCATGGGTGGGCGGAGCTTAGAAACAAGGTGTTGGATTATGTATTTGCCGTTGTGTTTGTTTGTGGTAACCATTAACACAATGATAATAATTATCATAAAATACCTAAATCAATTATAGAATTAGGTAATGTGTACATGATCTTCACTTTTAAATATATATTCATTGACATATCCGTATTTATTTACCAGCGGCATTTTATAAGTGTCTAGTGTTGGTGATGGAGGTGGTGGAGATGGTAATGGTGGGGGTGATAGGGTGGGGGTGAGTGTAGGTGGTGGTGGAGGTAGGAGGAGGGAATGTCTTGTTGACTATTATACGTCTTTTAAAATGTTAGAATTAACAGAAATGGGAAGCGTTTTGGGGATCTTGTTATGTGACAATGGATGGGTTAGTAATTATAAGAAAAAGAAGTAAATTAGAATAAAGATGCCAATGAAAGAAAATAATTGACTTTTTTTCTTATTTAATATGATAAAACGTATAACATCTTCTAGGAGAGGAATTTTTAAGCGAATACATCGTGATGAAATTAGTGAGTGAAGTCTCATGACCTAGGTGGCGTACAACAGGAGGCGGGAGGAAGGGCAGAGGGGGTCAATGCCACACTACGATGGGTTCTCTTCCCCTGACGACGATAAATAACGCGTGAATCTTGACATCTTAAAACGATCTAGGAGTAATTGTCTTTGATGAAGTTCGCCAGGACTAAGACGCCCGCCATGGTCTCTTCTCCGGTAGGGATGATCTGGTCTTCAGGAAGCAGGAAGCCAAATTCACCTTTGTCGCGGAGTTCAATGGTGTAGGAGTACTTCGCGTCGACTACAGCCTTGGCCCAGTCAGCAGAGCCACCAGAAGCTGGCCCTGAGGAATATGGTGTCAGGTTATAGTGTAGGTTAGGTGAGTGATACAAGGTAAGCTTAGATTAGTATAGGTTAAGCTGAGTTAGCTGAGGATGGACTATACGGTAGGCTTTCTCGTTTACGTCAGGTTACTTAAGCTTAGGTGAGCTGATGCAATGCTAAGCTTGGTTAGATTGGACCCAGTAAATGTTTCTCATCTTAATCTTAGTTGTCCTTAAAATGTAAAGCCATGACTAACGAGATCTAAAACAAGTCGTCGAAATGTCGAAATTTTGATAATTAATTCTGATTATTAAGTGTCCCATATCAATTAGCATAATTATCAAAACGTTATTATGTAAGGTTTAATGACAATTAATTATCAAAATATCAACATTACGACCACAGATCCTGAACAACTAGAGTAGACAGTTCAGTAAGAAGATGAGACCTTACCGCTGAGGGCACAGGACCCGGTCTCATACACCTCCCCGTGGACAGCGGTGACGGCTTCGACGATGGAGTGAGCGAGATCGTCCTGCCCAGGCGAAAAATCCGCTTAATGTTAGATACTATTACTACTGCGAATAATAATAAATAATAATAATAATAATAATAATAATAAAGGACCCTGGAGGTGCATCAACAAAAGATCTATATCCTGTACATGAAAAACTAACTTAACCCGAAGTTTAAGGGTGTTTTAGATTAGGCCTACACTAGATCTGATTAGTTAATATTGCCACTTCTCTTCCCAACGAATTAAATGTTTATCCTCACCAAATCCGTCCAGTCATCCGGGAGGTCGGTAGTCCAGCACCAGGGAGACGACCACAGCTGGGAGTACGAGTGGAAGCTCAGGTAAGCGTCTATATAGTCACTATACTTGATGATCTCGTCGCGAACATTCCTCATCTCCACCTCAGAGAAGGGCTCACTACCCGCGTATTCCTCCGAGCAAGGGTCGTCTGAAGCGCCAACCTCTGGTGTGGGAAAAAAAGGTACTAACAGACCTGAGCAGACTAAATATAAACACGATATCTTTTAATGCTATTGTAAGATGCTAACTTTTGAATTTTGGCTTTTATTTGTAATTTATATGGAAATAAATGTCTTAATTTATCAACTAACCCATCCAGTGAATGTCCCAATTCCTGTTAGCGTCGACACCGTAGCAGTTCTGTGGAGAGTTGGTCTTGGAGCGAGTCTTACGCCACAAGCGGTCCTGTTGAGGGTAGACGAGGGTTGAATTAGTCTACGGTCAGGTGATGTTAATCTAGTGTAAGGCTAATTAGGTTAGGTTAAAGTTACGGCAGGATATTTAGGTTAAGTTAGAATAGCTTAAGTTTGTTCTGTTCAGCTAGTTAAGATAACTTAGATTAAGGTAGCATTAAGTTAGGTTAGTAAGGTTAGGTAAGCTGAAGATTTTTCCGTGGGTCTGTCTGTCATGTCTCTGGATCATCGAGAGACAACAGTGATGATGATCTACAGTTTCCAATTCCGAGGGAAAAGTATGTTTCAGCTTACAATTTTCGGCGTTTTCGGCCAAAAAAAATAGATTAGGTTGAAAATCTCAGTAAGTGTGTTCCTGAGTGTGCCGATTACGAAAATATGGTACACGGTTCGATTGCGGGATAATTGAGTCTTTCAACGCTAATTATTTGCTAACTATGGGTTTCCCGGGTGCGATTTTGGTGGTTTTGTGTTATTCTGGATGTATTTCAGTAGTTAAGTCCCTTAAAGGTGAGACATGTGCCATGACCAGATATTAGGGCCAGGTGTGAGGGCTAGGTGTGTGCCAGGTGTGAGGAGGTGTGAGGGCTAGGTGTGTGCCAGGTGTGAGGGCTAGGTGTGTGCCAGGTGTGAGGGCTAGGTGTGTGCCAGGTGTGAGGGTCAGGTGGCAGGAACACACAGGTACTCACAGTAGTATAGGTGTAGTAATAACCATCTGGGTTGACGATTGGCATGAAGTAGAAGTTGACGTTTGAGAGGAGGTCATCATAGGTCTCCTTCTTGGTCACCAGCTGGTCTATGATGTAGGTTAGTACCGCAGGGGAGATCCACTCACGGCCCTCCAGACCTGCCGGGGGGAAGGTCACGGTACATTACACACACACACAGTCTCAACTTTATCACAACAATAGGGAGAAAAATTGGGCACTTCTAGAAAACCTTCAATCTTAAGAAATGTAAACAGTTGTCGATTTACGTGAAGATTAGACACCCGAGCTTATTTTACCGAATGATTAAACACCTTATCGCTACCTGGGGGTTAGATTAGGTTAGGTCCAGAGTAAACACAAGATACAATGTTTTCTGTGATCCACGAACACCTCCAGACGAAATTATGGTTTACTGCATTAGTTTGACGACCTGTTTGGCTACTTCAGACTCTTACTACAACACACTGAGCCTACTAGGAACCCAAGAGAGAAGGTTCACTGTGAGTTGATCGAGAGGCCAGGGGTGTTACACTCACCTCCCTCCAGGAAAATTATGGGTTTGTTGACACCTTTCCCAAGTTTGAGGAGCTTCATGTCGTGTTGCTGGTAGCTCTTGCCAACGTTTTCCACCGTGCACACATCCGGGTGATCCTTGGCCACCGTGTCCATCCACCCCATGATCTGTAAACAACACATGGCAGAGGAGTGTCTGCTTCATGTTTCTATCATATTTCTACCTCCATTCTCTCTCTCTCTCTCTCTCTCTCTCTTATTCTGTTCCCAGATAAATGCGGCAGAGGTCAAGTTGAGAAAGAAAACAGATGAAGAAACGAAATTAATAAAATATAGCAACACAAACGTACATGTGATAGAAGCTAACAATAAAAAAGATGAAGAAATAGACGAAGATAACAACACACCTCGTCGTACTCGTGGTAGGAAGTCCAGTCCATAGTTCCCGGGGCACTGGCTCGGGCAGCGTCCCGGGCAGCCTTCTCCTGAGCCACCAGTCCCCCCACGTCACTAATCATGGTAGTAAACTTGAGGCCAACTTGTGTGAGAGTTTTCTTCAACACTGGCAGCTGGAAGGCCGGAGCCATGATGTCGACTGGGGAGCCTGGGGGAGGAGGGATGACGGGGGACAGTGACGTAGTTCCCGCCGTAACTTATAACAGCAGCAGTAAACATCATTACACAGGACAGAGGGTGAAGGGGAGGACTGTAAAGTGGACTCACCGACAACTCGAGGCTCCGTCCAGAAATCGTAGAGATCTTGGAGGTGGAGAGCCTTCAGGTAGTGCACCTGCGCCGCCTCCTCTGGGGCCACCCGCAACACCTGCGCCCTGAACAACAACACCACCACAATGAACTTATCGCCCCTATAACAAATTTCAAGATTCCTGAGAGTGGAATTCTAAAGGGTTGGCCCCCCAGTGGTAGCCTACCATCCCCAAAGGTGGAACTTCCTCAATAAAAAATCTGAATTATTGACATTATTGGTGACGGTTGTTGTTCTACACAAAATATCTTTGAAGTTGTCGATAACTTATATTATAGAGGTCTCTGATGTACAAGTATCACCTCTGCCTTAATGTCTTGTTTGAGTCGAAGTAATTCATTATAGTAATTAAATGAAGATGACGAGTTAATACAACTACTGCTGCGGAGGTTGAACTATCAGGGACGGTTAAGAGACACACACAGCTTACCCGTGCAGGTTGGTGTGCAGGCCAGGGAGGGCGGCGCCCACCACTAACACACATGACAACACCACCAGAGTCCTCATGACGCAGAGCACCTCCCCCTTCCGAGTCTCCTTATATCCCCAGCCTTTACACTCCGGTCACACGCTCCGCCCACCATGCCCCACTGTTGTCAATGCCTTAGAACACAGCTCTCGTGAGACTGGGAGCCACGCCACCTGCCATAGTTGAGAGGTGTGAGGAGGGGAGGGGGGTGCTGCTGTATCTTCCCTTAAACACCTGTAGTCCAATAACAAGTTCTCCTGAATGAATAAAATGCCAAAGACTCAGTGTGTATTGTAAAGTAGGAGGAATGGAGGGAAGTTAATCCCAAGAATATTCGTCGTCTGCCTTCATCCACCTTGTATTAGCAGTGAACACCGAACAGATCACAGTATTTACATAGTTCCCCTTTCTTTCCCTTATAGTTAATGTTTGTCACCCTATAAGTGGTTTCAATGTTTGTGTTCTCTGTCCAGCAACGCCAAGTGTCTTGCCTCCAGCCTGTGAACCAACAGACTGTGTATCCTCCCACATGCTGCAGTCCGAAGGTAGTCTCCTGACTCTCACGTTCGTTTAACTGTCAGTGACTTCAGTATACCTGGCCATTTTGATGTTAGAATTTACTCTCTCATTTTCCTACTTTATGTATCTAATCCTCTCCCTCCTTCCTGCCTGTCTCTTTCATTTTCAGTAGATTTCAGTTTCTTTACTCCTTATATTTCCCGCGTCCGTCTCTACACGTTCGGACCTTAACAAGTTCAAACCTTCCTTACCGAGTCCCCAATAAGTGTGGTAGGTATCTTAGACGAAGAACACTGAACACTAAGCTCTAAATACTGAAAACTCGTGAATAAAAAAACGATTAATTTGTGGGGGGGTTTTCTCTCTTGCTTTCCACCATCACCAAGACCCTCCTTTGGCTTCATGGGATACGTCGTGTGTGTGTGTGTCTGTCGCTAGAGATGTCCTTCATGTATGTCTTAAGAGCCATAGAGAATATAAGAAGGAAACAATTAATTGGTTTCTTGTGCTAGGTTATGGAGTCGATTTGTTGTGTTTGTTTACCTGTGCTTTTGTTTACCTGGTCTGTTGTTTTCCTGTACTGCTGAACTGGTGTGATTATCTCAACCAAACTTAACCAGAAAAACTAAACGCCATTCTCGTCTCTCCTATTTAAGTCCTTTGTTGTCTATTAAAAACAAAAGCACATCAAGAGCAGATTTACTAACAATAAATTTTTTTGTCTTTATAAGATTTATTTTTTCATCTTAAGTACATTCAGAATTAATCAAGTGCATTTAGATTCTTTTTAAGGAGACAAAGGATAAAGTGTTATTAAACTTTATTTGTATTAAAGGTTTATAGCATAATTTATTAATGTTTAAGTCATTTTAGTCATTAATCGTCTCCTAAATAACACAACGACGATAAAGGTGTTAATTACAGATGTGGCTTTAATTACAGGTGTGACTTGAATTTCAGGTGTGGTTTTTTATTGGCTGTAAGTGTCCTTGATGAAGTTTGCAACGACCTTAACAACTTCGAATGACTTCTGTTGGGATGATCTGGCCAGCGGGGAGGAGGAGGAAGCCGTACTCGCCAGTGTCACGGAGCTCGATACAGTACGAATACTTCACCTTAGCGACACCATATGTCCAGTCATCTGAACCTTCTGCTGTAGCGGCTGTAGACGAGAGTTGACTGATAATGATGTGATAACGGTATGGGTGTGTATGTGTTAGTTCTGTCAGCTAGACATGAGACAACACACAACCACTAGATAGTAAAGTAACTGTACTCACAGATCACGTTGGTTGAGAAGCCCACCTCGTACTGCGCCCCGTACATGGCGGTGAAGGTCTGTGTAGCGGTCAGGCCTGTGTAGCGGTCAGGCCTGTGTAGCGGTCAGGGCCAGGTCGTCCAAAAGGGATAGATTGTGTATTTCAACCATGACATCTTCTCTCATTATCTAGGAATGAAATAGATTATACTTTTCATATTTTAGTTGAACTTTCGACTCTCAATTTATCATTAGTTTTAACCAATAAGTATAGTAGTATTGTCATCCTCCTCTGGGTGTTTCTGATGGCTGACCAACACAACAATACCCATGACGAGTTTTATATTGTGGTAGATCATCTAACTTGGCTACATTGAACACATAAATCATTATCTTAGTGTGTGTGTTGTGGCCTCGAGCTGTGAGTAAGTATCAGCTGGCACAAACACAGCAACACGTTTGTCTTCTTATGAACTTGACAAACACATTTGAGGAATCGCACTTCACCTTCTCTTGTTATGGTCTCCACCTGAGGTTCCTTATGAGGGACTCACCAAGTCCTTCGAGTCGTGAGGGAGTTCAGCCCCAGGGATACATCCACATCTGGGAGTACGAGTGGAAGGTCAGGTAAGACTTTATGTTGGCGGCACGACTCTCATCTCCACCTCAGAGCACGGCACCTGGCCAGCATACAGTTCGGAGCAGGGATCGTTTGAGGCGCCCACTTCTGTTAGAGAGGTGAAGAAAATAATATATATACTTACTTAACACTCTAAAAGCCCTTGGAGGATCATTATAAGCACCATCATTGTAGTGTTCACGTAGTTACAGGTAATAAGAAGCGGTTACGAACCATTCCAGTGAAGCTTCAGTTTCTGTTAGGGTCAACACCCCGGCAGCCGAAGAATGAGTTACTGGGGGAGCGAGTCTGGCGCCACAGACGGTCCTGGTGACACTTTACACAACTATTAAGCAGATCAACAACATCCTGCAGTGGTTAGTGAGTTTTTCTGGCCCTCGATGGTGTACTACAATCTCGTCCCAGTTGTCAGTTTACACTAACCTTAGGGGGACCCACCACCAGGGGCACCCACCAATTTCGATTCATTCTCCTGGTAAAAATCAATCAATAGATCCTGATAAACTTGTCAATGACTCGTTAATACGTGTCCCTGTATGTGATAAGACTCAACCACAACTCTCTTAAAGAAATACAAAATAAACTACTGTACCTCCATCCTGTACTGTCATATTACAAACAGTTCTCTTAATGATAAACTAACCAAGTGTTGACTGATTTGATGAAGTATTTACATAAGTCAGGCATCTCAACTAATTTAAGACTGCCAAAGTATTTTCCTGTGGACAGTCATGTGTTAGCGTCGTCTTGCTCGCACAACTCTGGCGTTACTCACATTAGTAAAGGTGTAGGAGTATCCGTCAGGGTTGATGATTGGCATAACGTAGTAGTTAGCGTTAGAGAGAAGGTTGTTGTAGTTGTCACTCTTGGTCACCAGGAAGGTCACCACCGCCGGGGGCACACCTGTTGACACGCCAGTACCTCTCCGCCCTGCACCACCAATTCTGTGCCACTTCTTTGGCGTGAAACAATATGACACAAAGGACGATGGATTTTGACAACCCTACTGTGACAACATGAGTCGTATTGATCATTTCGTTGACTGAAGCTATAAAAATAATATTTGCATTAATTCTCCACACCGTGTTTATCTTACCTCCGTCAATGGAGGTGATAGGCTAGTCGTCACCGCCTCTCACAAGGTTCAGGAGTTTCATGGTGCGGCCCTCGTAGCTCTGACACACGTCCTCCACACGGCACAGCTGAGGGTATTCTTTTGCCAAGGTGTCCAGCCACGCCATGATCTGTACGGATAGATCGACGTAAACAATCAGTCATTTTACCATCCTCCTGTCTGAGGGTTGGCGAGTATGGCCCCCCACTCCAAACGTTTCCGGGACCCACATTTCAATCTCAATCATCCATCCTCGTCTCTACTTTTATCTTGCTCTCCTCCATTTAACTTCAACCGTTAATATCTCTACATATGCAAATTCTCCTTAAGGCCAAGACAGAGTAACTGTCTGTGTGTATGTAGCCTCTCCCCACCACGTTGATAGAAACACTGAACAAGTCAATAAGAGCCTCGGTGATGGTGGACGTTGCCGGGCTAAGAAACAAAGTATCGTACTGTCAATGAATTCCTTTCAACTTATACCTCGTGTGATAACGTGAGTAAACCTCTGTCGTGCTATGGACTTCATTCCTCTTTATGAGTATGATTTCAAACTTGTACCTGAAGATGGATGTTTCATAGTTGCTGAAGAGAAGAGTAATAAAGACTTATACGCCTGGCAACGTCGTGTAGATCTTCTCAGCTGACTCCAGTAGCCAAACACGATGACCAGAAAATTAAACACAAGTCTTACCATAACACACATACAGCCACACCATCCTTAGGCCAAATCTCACTTACTTATCCTCGGTGGCTTGTATATAACATTCATGCTTCAGTCTCGCTGTACCATTCCTACTACACCGTCAAGGTAGGTAGGTAAGACTGTGTTACTAAGACGAAGGAAAAGACGAAAACTGAATAAAGGCAAAACGCTAACTTTATCACTCATGGTAAGAGGTCCAGTCTATGATCAGAGGCCCACTGGCTCGGGCAGCGTCTCGGGCAGCCTTCTCCTGAGCCACCAGTCCCCCCACGTCACTGATCATGGTAATAAACTTGAGGCCAACTTGTGTGAGAGTTTTCTTCAACACTGGCAGCTGGAAGGCCGGAGCCATGATGTCGACTGGGGAGCCTGGGGGAGGAGGGATGACTGGGGACAGTGACGTAGTTCCCGCCGTAACTTATAACAGCAGCAGTAAACATTATTACACAGGACAGAGGGTGAAGGGGAGGACTGTACAGTGGACTCACCGACAACTCGAGGCTCCGTCCAGAAGTCGTAGAGATCCTGGAGGTGGAGAGCCTCCAGGTAGTGCACCTGCGCTGCCTCCTCTGGGACCACCCGTAACACCTGCGCCCTGAACAACAACAACAACACCACAATGAACTTAACACATGAACTCTTTTCTTCTATAACAAATGTCAAGAGTAACGTACAGTATATCTCAACCACAGATAATAATAAATAACACCTAAAACAATATATACCAGCAACTGTAACCAAACTCGTCCATAACTCACCCCCGGAGGTCAGGCCAGGCAGCACCACACACCACCACCACAATCTTCATGTTAGGAAGCATACCTCACTTCTCACTCGTCATCATATATATACTCAAACACCTCATCCTCTACCCCCCCCCCCCCTGTCTCTTGGTGTTATTAAATACTCTCAAAATAAAAAGAGACATAATACTAACTAATGATAACGAGTTTTTTTTTGGGGGGGGGGGGGTTCAAGCATGGGAGTTACCTTCAATCATAACACCTGTGTACGTCTCTTGAGTGTTGGTCGGTGCAGGTAAAATATCTATAAATATTAGTCATGTTATTTACCTCACCTTATAGTTCCGGTCCCGCCCAAACTGACGTGACTGATTCATAGAAACTGAATTAATGTACTTTTATCACCTGCATTACCTGTTGTCGTTTAGATTAAATACAGTACAGGTGTTCATACTATCTACACCTGTCTAGCTTTACCTTTTAATCTGGATGTTACCGACGATAAATTCACATGAGAAGGATGTGTGTGCATGTGTATACGTATGTGTATACGTGTGTGTATACGTATGTGTATGCGTGTGTGTATACGTGTATGTACTGTATGCATGTGTGTGTGTGTGAGATCGACATTATACACCAGATAATGAATCAACAACTCACATTATACTACCATGTTAATATTCACACGTACTGAGCGCCCCCTTATTCTGCTCACATTCACAGACTGGTACACCCCCCCCAAAAAAAATCAAATCAACCCAAGCGAGTTTCTCTTGTTTTTATACACTGTAAGAGGAATCATAAACAAAAATATAGCAATTACTTATATTTATTTTTGCTTACGGAATTTATTACAACCTATTCTAAATACCGGAATTAAATGGGTGTTCGTCTATCATAAATTCTCTAAGAAAACATGAGAGGAAAAGATAACATTGGATGATGGAGGCACTATAACCCACCTCGGGCCACCCACTGCTTGGGCCACCCACACCTAGGGCGGCTTTGGCTTTTCTGAAATAAGATAATTTATTAAGCCACATCACTTAAATTAACAGAATAAGTAATAAAGGTAATTTGAATGACTAAATAAAAGACAAAAATTGGCGTTGAATGTAAATGTGTAAAAAAATATTCGATTATGAAAAATTTATTCATTAACAAATATTCGACAAATTTACAAAAAAAAGGAAAAAAATCGATAAATTAAAATAAACATTCGATTAATTCATCCATGCGTTTATCCACCCATGCGTTACTGCGTCAGTCAATCAGTCCATGCCACACCTATCCCCCCACCCCCTCCCCTGTTGTTGGTGGTAGTTGTGGTAGAAAGTAATGGCTCCCCTTCCCCAGTCTCCCTCACTTACCTGCTGTTAAATTCATCCCGTTTTGTTTTTCTCCTTTTCTTTTACACTTCAAGACCATTAAAATCTTCTTGTCAGGTCAGTTGTAATCAAGCGGAGGCGCCAGACAACACCCTCAAGCTTCAGCACCTACTTCTCCTCTGACGGTCTGAGTCTGACTCAACTCGGCCCATACATCTATAGTTTTCCATTTGTCTTTTGTTTGCTCGTTCATGGTGTCTATACTCACCGATTCATACGAGAACTTGTTTGTCCTGTACTGTTTAATGTGACTTGACTATGCTCTATCAATGGTTTCATTTGTTTGTAATTCATGCAGATTTATTTTCTAGATGTTTTCAGCAGGCATTGTAGTGGAATCGTGATAGCATGCTCCTGGGGGTATGTTGTTGTGTTTATTCTTCCCATTACATAAAGACAAAAAAACAATTGACTGTCAGGACATTTATAACTATGAGTAAAAATATAAGGAAAAAAACAAAAGACTATCGGTACATTTCATTATAAATACAAATATAAGGAGAATAAACATTACTGTCCATTTAGTATCTAATACTTTATAATCTTCATGTGTATGTTTTACAGTAGATATTGATCAAGTATAAATATTCCCAGGAAAAGATCTATTTATATATTATTTACATGCTGCAAGTCATAATATATAAATTAACTGATATATAGAGTTTTAATATATGATTCTGGGTGTAAATATAATTGTGTGACGTGTAGTTGTGTTCCCTTATACACACATACACACACCTACACCTACAAGAATGAAGTGTTTATTTACTATGAACATCAAAGCCTCCAAGTCTTCTTTATCATCAAATTTAACCTTCCATTAAAGTGATAAATTAGCAAATAAAACCTAACTTAATCTAATTCTGTCTCAAGATGCTATTGACTCATGTTCACTATAATCTAACTATAACACCCCTCTAATCCCATATACTAGAGTAATAATTCCTAACGTATAAACCTCCATGCTATAAAGATATAATAGAGCTAACTATGTGATCTAACTATAGTCCCAGCTACTAGCACCATTCACATGCTCAACAGGTCAACTAGATTCTCAAAGATTCTAAAAGATTCTCAAAATATTCTCAAAGATTCTCAAAAGATTCTCAAAGATTCTCAAAAGATTCTCAAAAATTCTCAAAGATTCTCAAAGATTCTCAAAAGATTCTCAAAAGATTCTCAAAGATTCTAAAAAGATTCTCAAAGATTCTAAAAAGATTCTCAAAAGATTCTCAAAGATTCTCAAAAGATTATCAAAAATTCTCAAAGATTCTCAAAGATTCTCAAAGATTCTCAAAAATTCTCAAAAGAATCTAAAAAATTATCATGGAGAAATTTATTCACCTAAAGAGTAGAGAAAGGAGAATGGACTCTACCTGGTTCACTAATCTACAGGTAACTGGAGACTAATATGGAGTAAATATATGCATGGAGACCTACCTGACGAAGATTGGAGAAAGAGTGGGAGATCTGGGAGTGTGGCGGAGTGTTGGGGCCAAATACACATCTCTGGTGGGGTTAGGTTAAGTTAAGTTGGGTTGGGTTAAATTGGGTTAGGTTAAGTTGGGTTGGGTTAAATTGGGTTAGGTTAAGTTGGGTTGGGTTAAATTGGGTTAGGTTAAGTTGGGTTGGGTTAAATTGGGTTAGGTTAAGTTGGGTTGGGTTAGCCATATAGTGATACCTCCATATAACGGATTTTTCTCCCCCCCTCCTTATAATCCGTTAAGTAGGGGTTACATTATCGCCATTGCACCGAGACTCTACCGTTGAGAGGAATAAATGACTCACGTTTCTTTGAGTATGTTATTTATCTCTTAATTGGGTCAAGATAAGAGATATTTAGTCACGGTTGAGTCTCAGTTCAATATCGACGCCATTTATGATTCCTATCTTGTGTGTGTGTGTAGTTAAGAGAGGTTATCTCACTCACTCGCTGGTTCAGGTGGAGAATTTATTAACGTTAGAAGCTTTCAGTGTGTGTGTGTTCTTGAAATATCGGCATACAGTTTATCCTTCATTTTTTTAATTATTTCACAGTAAAGCTTGTTGACTTTTTGGTAAATTACATATATACAAATATAAATTCCTATACTAAAAGGTTCCTGTGTTCAATAAATAACATAATTATATACCCCCGTCAACACTACATGTCTGTCTCCATCCTGAAGGAGGGGTTCTCCATACCCATGAAAGTGATGCGGGTGAGGCACAGGTTCTCAGCCGAGGCCGTGGTGGTCGGGGGCGCCGCGGCTTTCCTCTCCGTGCTGGATGCTGTTGTTGTTGTTGTTGTTGTTGTAGCTGCTGCGGTGGTGGTGGTGAAGATGGTTGATGATGACATGTTGATGGTCGTGTTAGAATACGCAGCTGCCGTATAAGCACCTTCGAGGGCGCTGTGAGCGGGTTTAGCAGTGTTGACGCCGGTGGTGATGTTGGGGCTGCTGTTGGATAGTGTATTGGTAATGAGGTCATCCATCCTCTGTAAGACGCCCTTTGGGATGGCTGGAGTGGACGGACAGATTAGCGGAATTGGATTGTCTTCTGCAGGAGCTTTTGTTGTCGTTCCGAGCTCCTGGTTGGCTCGGCCGTTCATCAGCAGCGGGTTGAGACTCTCCTTATCAGGGTCGTTTTCGTTCCCTCTGAAGGAAGAAGCCAGAGTGTTGACACTCCTGATGGCCATGAACTCCTCGTTGGTCTGAGTAAGGCTCTCAGACCACAGCTCCTGGTGGTGGGTCTCCAAGTTACCTAAACCTCCATTGCCGCTTTTTTTCTTCTTCTTGGGCTTCATCGTGTTGGTGGAGGCCTTGGTGCTGCTCTCCCTGGCGCTCTCGAGGAAGTCTGGGGAGCTGGACGAGCCGTATAGGTCCTGGGAGCTGAGGTCACTGTAACTCTTGTACATGTTGACAGTGTAGGTGTGAGTGTCGGCCAGCCTCAGGGTGTGGTCCATCTCCATCTTGGGACGGAGACTTCGGGGTGACTCTGGCAGGAATTTATCTGCCGCCTCGATATTAAACTTGCCATTCCTCGTCCCAGTACACTGATATATGGCAAAAAATATTCCCGCAAACACTATACATACAAGTGACACGCCAACACCACCCAGAGTCAAGTACAAGATCTTATAACCGTCCTCGTGTACGTCAGGTTTTGTCTCGAAAATTAAAGTTCGTTTCGTTTCATAAGATTCAATATAAAAGGAAGCGTTGTGTAGGTCCAGGCGGAGGTTCTTGTGGGAGAGGAGAGTTCTTATGTCTCCTTCACAGTTTGGGTAAGAAATGGGATCTATAGACATGTTCACCATCATCTTGTTGCTCGAGCAGGACAGAGTGTTGATGACGATGTGTTCCTTATTGTACAGCAACAGCGACGACACCGACGTGATGAAGTCAGAGAAGAGGATGTAGGAGTTGGTGAAGTCGACGAGGGGGCAGTTCCCGCGTAGACCGATCAAGAACCACACCCAGCTGTCGTGTAGGTCTAGGAAGGAGGAGTAGGTGGTGAGGACGCCCGTGGTGACAGACTGTGTAGAAGTCGTCTCTGTGACAGCCTCCGTGTGACTCCCTTCAGTCAGGAGATCAAGACCCGTCACGGTAGTTCCCTCAGACGTCAGCCGAGGGTCCACAGTGACGTCCTCCGCCCTCGTGTCCTCGTCCCCGTCAGCCTCTCGCTCTCTGGACGGACTTGTGGGTGTGGGAGTTCTCTCAGTCGTGCTGGTTTCGCTCCCTGGCGGCTGATCACTTAATAAACGATCAGCTGGAGAAGGATCAGTTAGCAACTGATCGGTTATTAACTGATCACTTGATAAATAATCACTGGAAGACTGATCAGTTTGCGACTGATCAATTAACGACTGGTCACTTGATGAATAATCACTCGGTGGCTGATCAGTTAGTGAATGATCAGCTGGAGAAGGATCAGTCAGCGACTCATCACTTGATAAATAATAATCACTGTTTGGCTGATCAGTTAACGGCTGATCACTTGACGAACGATCAACTGACGAATCATCAATAAGCGTAAAGAAGGTGTCCAGAGGCGGGGAGAAGAGGAGGCCGCTGGTGTACCTGGTGGTCTCCTCTGAGTCCAGGTGAGGAGGTAAGTCGCCGCGGGTAGGAGGCCGGTCGTCAGGTGGCGCGGCGCTGGTGGTGGCGTCCGACCACAGTGTCTCAGAGCTGCCGGACTCACGGCCCAGGGCGGGAAAGCTGAGAGGAACACCTGTCAAGACCACCGCTACAGAAGGTGTTGCTATCGTATGAGGAACCCCTGTCGAAGATATCGTACGAGGATCTTGAGTCGATATCGTACGTGGATCCTCTGCTATTATCGTACGTGGATCTTCTATTAATATCGTACGTGAATCCTGTGTTAATATCGTACGTGGATCCTCTATTAATATCGTAAGTGGATCTTCTGTTGCTATCGTACGTGAATCCAGTGTTGATAACGTACGTGGATCCAGTGTTGATATAGTACGAGAAATCCCCGGCATCGAGGACTTGATAGACACAAGGGGTGAGGGCGAGGAGGGCGAGGGAGCGTAGGTGATTGTCGTAGTGCCAAGGTCCAACAACTGTGTGTGTGTGACTCCCTCTGGGGTTCGAATCTGTAAAGAAACAAAAGTACGTTCTATAGTTAACGAATCCAACACCTTCTATTACATATTTTTTTAAGCTACTACTACTACTACTACTACTACTACTGATACGAGTCCACTATATAACAAAATAGTTGGTTTACTCACAGGAGTTAAACTCACAATCTGGACTACAAAATTAACTTACTCACCAAGGGCGTAGCACTCCAGGACTCAGCCGCAAGCTCAGTCTCATGGTTACCTTCGTGAACGCCTCTTTCAGCGTCTGGGTCAAGAGGCTCTTCGTCTGCACCACCCAATTGACTCATGGCAAACTCAGACGCTAGACAGAGATTATGATAATTAGACATATAACTTTGTGACAGTGACAGCTGGAGTATAATGCAGCTCTACTTGTCTGTCTGTTTAGCCGTCCGTCAGTCTGTCAGTCCGTCAGTCAGCCTGTCAGTCCGTCAGTCAGTTAGTCTTGGTGTTTACTAGTGTTTACAATGCACATGTTATTATAAAACTACTAGTATCAAAACATAAAATAGATAGATAGATAGATGACCAGCATTCTCTAGACGCACTTTCTGTAACTCCAAAGTGTTCCTCGCTCAGAAATCTAAGACGTAGAACAGAGGACCTACCTGTAGTAAGCAGAAGCAGCAGGTGTATGACAGGTACCATGATGAAGGGTGAAGGTGGTGAGGTACTCCTGCTGGGGGATTCCTGTAACGTGTGAGTGGTTAAGGAGTCGTCGAGGTACTGCTTAATAACATGGGTTTGTTTACATGGAGGGTAAAGTCATATCTAGTTGAGGATTTCACCACCAGAGGGGATTCAGGTAGACAAGATGGCGGGAGGAAGACCTTAGTGTAAAGTTGTCATAACAGTACGTGTTTTATTAGGCCAATGTGGTTGTAATGGATGTGTATATATTGTCTCTCTTTTCCAGTATATAAACGAGATGGAGATTACACACACACGCACACACACACAGACACAAAGTTCACCAATACTAAACGAGGTAGAGATTCTCTTAACATAGTCTAAAGCCAAACAAACAAGTACAATGTATATCCACCCTTCATTACCTCTCACTTATGACCTATTATTGTATCTAAAGTGAAGGACATATTCGCCTCCCTTCCATAACAATCCTATATGTTGTTATATAAAAAAGTAAAGTCTTATATCATTCACTTCCTTTCATTAAATTATTCTATAACAAAATGAGAAACGATTATCACACATACCTTAATGGTCTCTGGTCTCTAATTGTCTCGTTAACTGTCCTCGATAACGACAATGATCCTCTTGATAATCGTCACAACACAGTTCACGGTGTTTCCAGTCGGATATCACAAGCGGTTCATGACCTGATTTTCGATTATTTTTTCACTCGAGAGATAGAGAAAGAGAGATGGTAGGGGTGGGCACTTGTTTAATGGTAGTGAAGATAAGGTGAAGGAAGGAAGGAAGGATGAAGGAAGGATGAAGGAAGGAGTAACACTTATGTTTCGCCACCGTGAGTAACACACCAAAAGACTCACCCTGAACACTACCTCACAACTCGACCCCCTTGACTGGCCCAACCTGTAGCATAGAGTTGAGCGCCGCTGGTCGGATCGTGGGGGTAACGCAACCCAATCTCTCCACCACCAGGCACCAACAAGTCACTGATACCCGCATCGTGGTATGTGGTGGGTAGGGGGTAGGGGAGAAGGGGATAGGGGGTAAGGGAGAGAGGAGAGGGTGAGGGAGACGAGGAGGGGTACCCGTATTGGTCACCCCGGAGATTTGGATTACGCTAAGCCGTGGACATGTACCCTGGGGCATGTGGCAGAGGTGATAATAGCTATAGGATGTATCAGCTCCTCGTGGTGGTGTATGAGAGGGAGGGGTTGATGGTCCTAGCAGCCGCCAGACACCTCGTCCACTCCCGTAAAAACACTCTGGTAGACAGACGTGTTGTAATCGTCACGACAAACAATTACATCTGTTGTCTGGATTAAGGTTGATTCTGTCAGCGTACTGTCTGCCCCCACCTCCCAAAGAACTGTATACTGTAACAACAAAGAGCTTTTAGTAAACAAATGGAGAGAGAGAGAGAGAGAGAGAGAGAGAGAGAGCCGGGGGGAGAGGGAGGTACAGGTGTGACCCAACACTAAACTAGACACCAATATCCTCCTGTTACTCAATACCATGCACACACACACAGACACACGTTCACGCACATATGATACACACATACAGTCACGTCACTAAAAATAATACTATTAATATATCTTCAGTAAACTCATCATACAGGTTTACAATTGGTTTGGTATGTATATAGACAATGCAGGTATACGGTATACATAGACCGTAGAGGTATCCAGTTTCCAATGCCGTTTATCCATCAGTAACACCTATTTTCCCTTTACCTTTTTATTTGTGAAGTTGGTTAGTGTTATATGACTTCAGGTCGACGTTTGGTGCGTTACGTCACGTTCTTGTTAATCTGCTTTCCTCTGTCCCAGGTAAAGCTTGTCTGCTAATGGCTTTGATTTGTTGTACTCACAGTCGTTCACAGGTGTATTGATTTCATTAGTTAAAATCAGGGACTGTGGGAGAGAGGGGAAGAGGAGGGGGAGGAAGAAGGAGGAGGAGGACGAAGAAAGAGGAGGAGGAGGAAGAAAGAGGAGGAGAAGGAAGAAGGAGGAGGAGGAGGAGGAAGAAAGAGGAAAATGAGGCGGGTGCAGGGATAGGAAGGTGGTGGACGGGATGTGGATTTCGGTGATAGAGCCTGTGATTAGGAGAGGTAAGGTGGATGGATGGAACTAGGTAGGGTTGTTGGTGATGGTAGGTACGACAGGTGGAAGTGGTATTGGGTGGGACTGGTAGGGTGGGAGTTGAGACAGGTTAAACAAGCAGGTGAGTGAGAGCAGGTAACTCAACACTTCAGGATAACTCACTAATCTTCCGAAAGTGTGCTGGATCCACTGTATCTTTATTTACATTCCGAGTGACTGAACACCAAATACACTACGGACCTAAACTAAATGTATAAATGACGTAAATTAATCTTTAACTGATAACTCATATTAGACCAGGGGTTCTCAACCAGGGGGGAATTCCCCCCAGGGGGGGAATTCAGGTTTTCAGGGGGGGGGGGAACTGATTCGGGAGCAAGAGATATGTTCGATGAGAAATCAATCACAGAATTTTGGCCCTTGATGTGCGATTCCTACCCAAAAGTGGCAGAAAGAGCTATCCGTGCATTGCTTCCGTTTGTGTCGACATATCTTTGTGAGTCAGGCTTTTCAACTCTGTTGCAAATTAAAACGAAGCAACGTAGTAGATTAGAGGTAGAAAATGACCTGCGTTGTGCCCTTTCAAGCACTCCTCCGCGTATCCCAGAATTGGCGAAGAAAAAACAATCACAGGTTTCTCATTGACTGTAATCTTCATCTGAATAAAATTAATTACAAATTTACAATATCCTGGTATTCTATTGAACTTTTTGTTTATTGCATTATGCTTCAGTTTGGTCTGTTAAGTAATTCATTATAAAAAAAAAAAAACTATTTTACTTTTATTCAAGTTTTATAAATCCATCAACATTTTCAATTGGCATTTAATTTGTAAAACTCCACTATAAAAATAATCCATGTAAAATTGTAAATGTATATGTACTAATATGGAGAAAATAAAGGATTTTCAGTATTATATGCATATTATTTGGAATGCACTTTTTGAGGCAGACAATCTTGGAAAGGAGGGGGGAATGACATTCTGACATATGGTGAAAGGGGTGCATGGGGCAAACAAGGTTGAGAACCACTGTATTAGAGGATATTAAAGAAGGAATATATTAATGTATATAACTCAATAACACATTATATTCAGACACGTATGTTAGCCTATGTGGTGAGGAACAGTTACATAATGTTTAGGGAGTACATCTCTCTTTTCGTACAGTAATCTACATATAGTTACATTTTAAGTACAGGTATGGTAATTATGATATATGTACAATAACAACAAAAGTGTCAATGTAATTATAGGTTACGACTTAAAATTATAGTTACAGTAAGAGTGAAAACAGTATTTTGTTTTGTCGTCTGTTATAGTGTCAGTCTGTATGTCACCTCCTCTTGTTCCTCTTCCTCTCCTCATCTCTTATTACCTCAAGATATACCATTAACACAAATAAAATCCAGGTGCATTAAAAAAACACTACTACACTTTATAATAACGTTGATTTACATAATAAACCTAAAATGGGACTCTCACTATCATCACAATTTCTTATGTATGTCTGCAGGTAGTGCCGTGGGAGCGCAAGGGGAAACTTAGGGAAGAGAGAATTCTATCAGTGAGTCAGTGAGTCAGGCAGTCAGGCAGTCAGGCAGCCAACAAGAAAATATCGTTCATAAAGCTAAAAATTATCGTATCTGCGGTTGGTTATGTTCTGTAGGAGATCCACCACAGAAGGCAAATTGTCTGGTCGGTACTGATAGAGAATCGCGGTGTAGGTGAGGGCAGTGTTGACGAGAGATACCAGGAGCTGTTTACCGAGTACGCCCACGCCCAAGACGGTGATGTGGGCAGGTCGCGCGTTGAGACGTGTGATAAGGGCAGTCAGGAGTGGATAGTGTTGATGGGTGGTGCCTAGGTGTTGGTGAAGCGACCATACGGCGTCCTCCAGGGCCAGGTGCTGTGGGGAGGAGGAACATTTTAAGGATAGGGAATTATCTCTCTCTCTCTCTCTCTCTCTCTCTCTCTCTCTCTCTTACGTGGAATTTTAATCCCAGGATTGTGGGTGTGGGGGCGGGTGGGGGAGAGGTGTCACGAAGGATTTTTGTTCCAGCTGACATCAGAAAACACACACACACACACACACTACATCACTCACCGCCTGACGGAGAGAATCGGCCAGGTGACAGAGGAGGCAGAAGCGGAGGACCTCACTGAAGGTGTACCAGGTGATGGGGACGATGTTTCTTGTAAAGTGTAAACTGAGACACAAGAGGTAGCCCGAACAGAGCAGGGAGGCCAGGAACAACCCGCAGCGGGGTGTTAACGTGGAGGAGAACACCTGTCGTGGTAAACAATATATGAAGAACACCTGTCGTGGTAAACAAGATATGAAGAACATCTGTCGTGGTAAACAATATATGAAGAACACCTGTCGTGGTAAACAATATATGAAGAACACCTGTCGTGGTAAACAATATATGAAGAACACCTGTCGTGGTAAACAATATATGAAGAACACCTGTCGTGGTAAACAATATATGAAGAACATCTGTCGTGGTAAACAATATATGAAGAACACCTGTAGTGATAACCAAGATATGAAGAAGAACACCTGCCTATTACCACTAACTACTAAATATTTCACACACATAACAACAACAAAAAGCTAAACTAACCTAACCTAACCTAACCTGGCCACGAATATACCAACCTCCTCTCTGAATTTACCTGTTGATTACCTTATTGTCAGGTATTACAACGGGACAATATCTCGACTAAATTATCCTTCCCCCCCCCCCCCAGATGAAGAAAGTGTACATCTCTATAGTAATCGACCAGCTTTATGCAACACCTCATTATACAGGTCTGTTGTTTAAATGGGATCAATGATTTTGTTTAGTTTTTGTTTTCACGATTCATACTTCTTTTCTTTCATTCTCGAAGGCACGTAGGTAAAGGTGAGTACAGATCTACCTAAATGATGGTCATGTGGAAACAGTAATGTAATATTTACTTGATTGAACAATGATGTGACGTGTACGAGGCTATCACAGAGCTTCACCACCTCTCTCACATCACCTCCGCCGTCTCCTTCACCACCACCACCACGAGTGTTCTGGGGAGTGACAGAAATATATCTACTGTAATATTATGTGTGTGTGTGTTGGTCAGAAGAATGAACATACCTTGGTAGTAATTGCATCACTTACCTGTAACACGTTAATTACCAAACAGTAGTAAAGAGTATAATTTTTAAGTGTTCGGGCTGTGTTAAGTAGCCACGCCTTGACTCTCCGGTTCATCGTGGCTTCTAAAGTGACATAATATGGACTAGTTCTGTGAAAGTCTTCAACAAGATGCTCTGAAAGTTACATAGGTGCCTGTGGCATATGCTCCGTCATGACGTCATTCAGACACTACTGTAAACTTGAGATCAGATAAAGGAGTCATTATACAGTCAGTAAGTCAGGTGATGTAGCGCACCTGTGAATGGCTGTGCAGGCGCGAGACTTCCCTCCTCACCCGGCTGGCAGCGCTGCTGTAAGCCCTCCTCACTCCCTGTATTAAAGACGCCATATAAAAGTCCGCGATGCTTATCAAAATTGTCTTTATAGACTCAGCTGCGTTAGCCAAGATCACTGTGAGTGTCAACGAGACCGAGATCAAATAAACACGACGACCGAACTCACACACGCACAATACTAACAATAAAACTATCGTCTTGAAGGTGGTGTGCGGGTCAGACCTGATGATATGACGTGTCAAGGAGGACATGAACTCGCAATTCAAATTTCTCTTTTGAACAGAATGAATGAAAGAGTTCATGAGGTAGATGACAGGAATCGTACTCATGAAGAAAAACAATATTATGTCGTAGGAGTCGGTCAGGTGCCAGGTGAGGCTGGCGATGAAGAACACGAGGAGGAGTGTGATACAGGCGAGGGGCAGCAGCCGCCACCAGGCCACTTGGTAGTGACCGCCAGGGTGAGGACGTGCCAGACTGATGCCAAGAACTCCTGCTAGGTCCTGCAGCAGTGGCCACGTCCTATCTGCTCCTCCTGTGTCCCCCTTCTCACACTCCCCATCCTGCGAGGAACCTGGACGACACCATGACTGTTTCTCCTCGTGCTGTGAGACGCCCCGCGGTGTAGGATCTCTGAGCTGTGCGTCGACCAGGAACTTGTGAGACGTGTAAGCCATGGTGTACCACCTCCTCTGGCTGCTTCCTCCGACACACTGAAGACGGCGCCTTCCATGTTACACCTGCTGCAGCATTCCTAGGAAAATGTTAATCAATCCCTTGCTGCTTCCGGTAAACGTAAACACATTTCTGGTCCTTCATGGAGGCACACAGTTGAAACTAGTGGTCTTGAACCTCACAAAAGACCACATATAATAAACTATCACCCTCATTAGTTCCTGTCATGGGGAGGATCGTTACGATCGTTACGAGGAGTGATGGATGATACAATTGTTGCTGCGGTGTATCATGCTTCTGACACACCGATGTTTATACGTGTTTCTCACTTTATTTTCCTGCTCAGGGAGGAGGGGGAGGAGGAGGGCAGGTCGAAACTAGCAGGAGGAGGAATGCAGATCGAGGTTGAGGAAGAATGCTGAGGTATGAGTGAGGTAGATTAGGTTTGGTTAGGTTAGATCCAGTCCAGTTACATTCCCTTTTGTTCACTAATGTTCAAGGAATGTATTTAATTTCTCGGTTTTAACATAAATTTTTCTCAGAAACAAACCAAAAAAAATAAGAGTTTAGGAAAAACAAATAAAATTCTCTTATTTATGATTTTATTGTGAGCACCAACAACAGAGAGAGAGAGAGAGAGAGAGAGAGAGAGAGAGAGAGAGGTGATCCTCCAGTAGAGTCAGTGATTCAGTCAAAATAATAACACACAAGTAAATAATTGTCACATTATCAAAATCACCTGAAGATTAGGCACCCTATTATATTTTTTACCTGATGATTAAACACCTGGACGATATCTTTAGGTTAAATGAAATGTAGTGAGGTAAGAGCCTAATCTTCAGGGGTTTCTACCCTTATCAAACTGCAGATAACAAGTGACAAACGTTTAAGTTCTACATCCCTTCTTCTTCTTCTTCTTCTTCTTCTCCTTCTTCTTCTTCATCTCCTTCTTCTCCTCCGCCTTCTTCTTCTTCTTCTTCTTCTTCTCCTTCTCCTTCTCCTTCTTCTCCTTCATCTCCTTCTTCTTCTCCTCCGCCTTCTCCTCCTGCCTCTACACCCGTGTCTACAGAACCTACGGTGTCGTTTTCATTGCCTCTCACCACTGCTCCGCCACCAGTTGTGTCTGTTTCGTTTTCGGAGTTGTAGTCACCGTACAATTCTTCATACTCTCTGTCGTCTGTAGGTGAAGATAAAACACGATTACATACATACATGCATTGTCACATTGATAAATATTCAATAAAATTACATTAAAGTTCAAGAAAATATAAAGTAAGTTACACATCATCTACCCGACACACCTGAAATTTTGTAATTGTTTATTCAGGGATAATGTTCGTGATTGTTATTCATACAGGAATCCTATAAATGTCTTCTTTTGTACATACACACACATATAACAACACACACACACACAAACACTTACAGGGATCTTTGCGTACACAGCACCAACACTTGTCATCTTTACAGGCTCCTGGAACCTCGATATGAAACTTTGAGTTGCACCGTTTGCTCCTACAAGTTCCTTTGCAGTGAGGACTTTTCTCACATTCTGTTGGTGGAAATACACATGTCTTACGTTTCTTATATGACAAGTGTAAAGGAAATTTCATCACATGGAAGGATTAATTTAGTTACCGTAAAAATATCTTCAAAGAAAACGGTAACGGATTAATTCTGTTACTTTGACTAGATATTCAAAGAAACAGTTTTAATATCCATTTAGAAAGTGTCATTTGGTTACTTTTTTTATGTTTTCCTTTTAACCTCTTCAGCATTGATCACCTGGTGTATGTGGGTGTAGAAAGACAGTATTATTACTTACTCCTACAGCACTTGCAGTCTCTCGTCTCACAGCCATAAGGGACCTCGATCTTATTCCTCGGACACGGGCCAGAAAGTTTCGTACATTTACCTTTAACTTTCTTGCACGTATCAGTTTTCTTACACTCTGTTGGTGAAAACATACGTGGTGACAAATCAACACATAGAATAAATAACAGACAGATAGATAACACGACATACAAACAATAAAGACACAAACACACAGACAATAAAAGACAAACAAACACACACACATAGTAAACACTCACTTTTTGGAATGCAGCATCGACAACCCGACCCGTGACATCCATGAGCCGCCTCCTCCTCGTCCCAGGCACACGTTTTTCTACACCACCCATTCTTCTCCTTGTAATGTACTGTCACGGTACACTCCTTGGTTTTGCATTCAGGTGTATTAGTTGCATACATTCTGGTATCATTACTCTTTGGTCCTGCTTGACCTAGAATAGTATGGTTGTATTAGTTTGGTTGAAATAGTATGATAGGTTGTGTTATTTTGGTTGAAATAGTATGATAGGTAGTGTTAGTTGGGTTAATCCCTTGAGTGGCAGGGGATTCTCAGTGCTGAATAGAATCGCCTGACGTTGTCCATGATAAAATACCTACGAGCAACACTACACACTTTGAATGGTTATCGAAACTTATGATCCACCAGAGATGAGACTGATGATGTTATTAATCTCTCTTACTTACCTCCTGAAAGCAGTTCCCTTCTCGACTCCTCTGTTGATACTGTTTACCGAGTTCTCCACATGAGCTATGTTGTGACTGTGTTCCCGTGCTGCAGTAGTTAAATGGCCCACAGCACAACACACCATGTCATAAGAACATAATAATGGAGGAAACTGCAGCGGGCCTATTGGCCCATACTGGGCAGTCCCATTTACACCCTATCCCTATCGCTCATATATCCATCCAACCTATGTTTGAAGCTATCCAGCGTATTCGAGTTAATGATGATATTTGGTAACTTGTTCCATTCATCCACTAATCTATTTCCAAACCAGTGTTTACCTATTTCACGCCTAAATCTAAATTTGTCTAATTTAAAACCATTGTTACGAGTTCGCTCCTGGTTGGATAGTTTGAGTACCTTTGTAATGTCCCCTTTGTTTAGCCCTGACTTCCATTTATACACCTCTATCATATCGCTCCTCACTCTACGTCTCTCGAGGAAGTGCAGATTAAGATGCTTTAACCTGTCTCTGTACTCAAGGTTCTTAATGGCTGGGATTAGTCTTGCTATTCTCCACTGAATTTTTTTCTAGGGATTCTATATCC